TTCTAAAATTTTGTTAAAGTCAAACAAAAATGTTTTTACAGGACGGAGGGAGTAGATAATTTTGTCCTAAATCTTTCTCCTCAATTAAGTTTTCACGATTTCTAATCCTCCGAATAACATTTCCAACAATAATACACATAGTTATATATATTTTTTAAAATTATAATTACAAAATGAGTTTATTGATCGATATGCCTGTTCTTTTGACAATAGCTACCAGTGTCATATTATGACACCAGCATATTCGGATGCCCTGGGATGGGGGACAACGGTGCATAAGAACAACTTTGGGATCAAACGGAATGCCGTAAGGTGCCTAAATGAATAAAATGCATAATATGGCACTCAAACCTAGCATCAAAATGAATAAACGGAATAAGGAAACGAGATCAGCAAGAAATGAAGCATTTAAACAAGATGCGCGATTAGCTTACACGAAAGATGAATTTGTCAAGGAGGAACCTGGCGGCAACGCAAGCGAACGCGAAAAGAAGGGCGAGGATGAAATGTGACCAGCGGGGAACATCATTCTGACCCGAAATCGTTCCCATTCGATCGCCGCCGATTTCAACTCATTAATCACAAATTGATCGCCGATCACAAATTATCTGGTGGCAAATATGACCTATTTAGTTTGTGAATTACCTTTCGGCAAAAAGAGACGAAATCCTGGAGGCGGAAATGTTGTGCATGGCGCGGCGTTTCCTTGGCCTGGGAAGGTGGCTTACGGCGCTTACCCAATGCGACAAAAAAAAAGGTAGCAAACGGAACTAGGGTGGGTGAGCACGAACCATTCTTTTTGATCCCAATGAAAAAGACTAATTAACACCCTAAAAAGCATTACTCCCTCCATCCCTACCACTATGTTTGGTTTAAAAAAATTGAGACATGAAGAAAAAAGAAAATGAAAATATTTTTCTTGTTTCGTTAGTGATAAAAAAAATAGAAGGAAAAAAATATAAAGGCAAAATGTACTAGGTGATGGTTTAAATTAATCACCCGACAAGCTGTACTAGACCATGTCTAGAATAGTTTGCTGAGCTTTAAGAATGAAAAGGTGCAAAAAACAAGGATTGACCAGGAGGACTGTAGATAGAAACACCTGTAGTCCGATTATTATTAAGTGTGTAGAACAGTACTGGAAGATATTACACAATATGCTCTAGAGAGATAAAGTTCGGATCCTTTCTATTGAGGGTTACAAGGCTATTTACAGTGGAGCCTAAGGGACAAGATAAAGAATGCCCACGCCGGCCCACGTTCCTGGACGGTGCGCGAGGTGACTTCCCTTGTCACGGAGCACTTTCCTTACTCATTTGTTGGCTTGTGCTGATGGCACCTCTCTTGGCGCGTAGTGCTTGGACATGAATATATGAATATTCTCTATGATTTTCAGTCGCTACCTTCCAACCATGCTTGGATTATTCTTTCTGACACGTGTACGCCCAAACTAACCACCCAGTACGAGTCCCAAAAACCTGCCCGGGTGGTTTCTTAAAGGAATGTATGATCACTCGATGATCCCCATGCAGCGTCATGCTAGTTGACTGAGTGCCGAAAAGTCACCTGGGTGATCTTGGCTGAACCCCACACGGGCAAGGTACAGATCCACCCAAACAACCCTGCTGCATAGTACCTGGACCTTGCCCGGGTGGTCTTGGCTAAATGCCACCCGGGCAGTATACAAATCCACCCGAACAACCCTACTGCATAATACCTGGACCTTGCCCGGGTGGTCTTGGTTGGGCCTGAGTCAGGCAGGGTACAGATCTACCCAAATAACCCTGCTGCATAGTACCTAGACCTTTCCCAATTGGTCTGGCTGAACCCCACCCAAGCAGGGTACAGATCCAACCAAACAACTATGCTGCATAGTACCTGGACCTAGCCCGGGTGGTCTTGGCTGGGCCCGTATCGGGTCATGGCCTGGGTGGATTACACCCTTCAATAAGTCCTCCACTTCTCGGCCTTGCGGGAACTATAAAGTGCGGGAAGTAAATTTTCGAATCCAGGTATTTTGCAAATTTTTCGAACTTGGGATGTTTTGTCACCCGAAATTTCAGTATCACCTCGATCATTCGAGGACCCTTTCGGCATCGCTATGTCATGTGACCGGTTACCCATTACTCACCCAGGTAGATTCCAGGTAAACGCAATCGAATTATCCCGCTAGGCTCACTGTCGTCGTATAAGGATAGAACCCACCCGAATGGATTTTAGCCCAAAGTTACCCGGATTGATTTTAGCCCAAAGTTACACGGATTTATTTTAGCCTAAAGTTACCCAGGTGACTTATCAGCCCACATTGTGCTTTCCACCAGGTTATTGTGCTCTCTCTGCTACTGCTATGCCAGGTAGGTGCATGGGAACCAACTTAGTATGGTTTTTTCTGCTCGGCCGAGTAAACTACTAAGGTAGGCTGCTTCTTGAATCATCTTGGGTTGATCTAGTTATGAAAATCTCACCTGGGTAGGTTCCAAGGTACTTTGACCGGGTCAAGTTCTCTTGTCTTCTTTACTTATCATGTCAATCTAGAAGTCCACCTAGGTGGGTTTCTGATAAGGTGGACCTGGGCTATGCTTCAAAGCTGGTCATGTGAGTCATTACTTCATTCACTCGGGTGAACAAGGGCTCTAGTCCTTCGAGTGGGCAAGGTAATTCATCCCCTCCCTAGCATATTCTTCAAAATTGGTATTTTAGAGGCGACGTCGGACATACAAACGAAGAATGTATTCTTGGAGAAGTCCTTCGAGCGAAATTAAGCGAATCTGTCGTGAGTCTGAATATTGATTTTCCTTGATTCTATCCCGGGCAGGGTGGTTCACCCTGACTTTGCCTGGGTGAAAAGTGTTCTGGAAAAGATATTGAAGATCAGGGTAGGCCTGTGACCATTCTTGACCTTCCTTTTCTAGAGTTTGGACTTCATAGCACTTCTCACCCCGAACCTCATTTGTGACTGGGTCACCATGAGGTCAGGGTTTGTTCAAACCAGATTTGTTGCCTCCAATACAATTTAGTCCGGGCTTATGTTTTAAATGGGCAAACACAATTTCTTTCTTTGCCCGGTTCTATATTAAATACTATCAAATTATACATTATACAAACGTCTAATTTGATATATTATACAATCGAGTCACTCGTAAAGATCAGCTCTATATGGGCTTCAAGCCGCCCATTGAATATTTTCTTTGGATTATTGTGCATCGACCTTGTGGGATTCTCTTGAGTGTTTGTAACTTTAGTCTGTTATAATAAACCTTAGCCAAGTAGGATAAGTCTTGTGTGATAATGTAAGATCTGAACTGAATAAATAATTAATCATGATGTTGAATGATGATGTTTTGCTGATTTTCAGATATTGTGCAATCATAGGTTGATGCATGCTAGTCTATGAGTTAGTTCTAGCGTTAAATATATTCTCACTCAACTTTAAGCTAAGCGTGTAGTGTTTGTGGTCTTTGACTGCATGCTGATACTTAGTTGGAGCACTCCCGGAGGGCAGCGAGACAGAAGGGAATGTACGGATGCAGATCAACTTTAAATGTTTCTAGTTTGACTCTTTAAAATGACATGGCGTATTTTATTAAGCTTCCCCACTTTTTGGATTAACTCTCATAAATAATTTAATTGTTTCAAATAATAAAATATTTATCTAATTGTTTTTAAATGATTTGGCTTGTAAATACGAATTTAGTAGGAAGCTGATTTGCTAATTTATTTATTTGCGTTACGCGAGTTGGAGTGTTACATATACGAGGCTTGACTCCACAAGATGAACATAGAAATTCATAATTCTTCAGAAATCCAATAGCAGAAAGCGGCGGCAATACAACTCTAGGCCCGAAGATGTGATTGGCAGCTTCCATCCATATCTGGCGAGCTCAATGACGATGTAACTCCAGTGAGACTCCAGTGACATAACATGTGCCCAATCCAGCGACGACCTTCACCAGGTCCTTCTCTAACGCTAAGAAAATTTCTGGCATTGGAGGAATCGCAGGCAGGGATCGGGAAATCAAGGAAGCAATGCAACACAGATCCTATTTTTAGGCTTCTGAAATTACCAATTTGCCCCCTGGTTCCTCCTTTTATTAATTTCAATTTTAAACCCTTTTATGTGATTGTATTCTAAATTTCTCCTACTCTATAAATACTCCCCTAACTCCACATTATTAAGGAAGCTCCCCATTTACATTTTCACATCTTAGACTAGGGTTCATTTTCTTCCATGTTCTTTATGCTCTTGTCACTTTTATTTTGGGAGCTCCAAACTTGGATATTATCTCTTTAATATTATTTAGTTGTCTCTTAGTATTGATCTTTATTTCTTCATCTTGTTTATGTTATTTTATTTTCTTACTCTCTAATCTTTATACATCTCTGTAGTTTAAGCATACTAGGCTAGCTTTTCTAGCCTAGATTAGGTGATGGAGTGTTGATTGGTGCTTGTTACCATTGGTTTAGTGTGAGATTTGAGATATTAGCTTATGTATATTTGTGAAGATTGTTCTTATTTTTGTTTGGGTGTCGTTGTTGGCCACAATGACATTCTTGTATCGCAGAGTGAATTCTAAATCATCGAGGAATCGAGATTCAGAACTAGTCGTGAGTCTCCCTCTTAATTCCTACCACGGAAGTGGAGGATACTTGAGGAGCGTGTTTGTCTTGTTGTGGTTCTCTTGAGAGGCGCGCCACAGAAGGGGGTTCTTCTCTAGGGATTCTTTCCGATTCTCACGAAAGTGAAATCGGACTGATTTGCTCACTTCCTTGGTTATTTCTCATTTTCTGCTATTCTGTTGGCAATTGCATTGATTATCATGATATCTCTAACGTAGGCTTGCTTTCATTTTACTCTTTGCATTTCATTTTTAGTTTTTCATTGCATTAGTTCAGTTCCATTCCACTTGCATATCATTCATCTTCTCTTTCTATATTACTACGGAGTATTAAATTTATTCTGTGCTCAATTACTAACCAATTACCCTATCCATGAGGACACGATAGCCGTACTTTCACCATACTACACTCTTTACTTTTACCATATTCTATTTCATTCACAATTTCACATCTTTTTGATTGGGAGTTTTTCGGTGTCAAACGACGTGCCAAAAATTTCACGCACCAACCAACTCAGCCATCACAGCTCTATCTCTCCTCCCACACCCCATGGTATAATTCTTCTTCTAGGTTCCCTTAATGAGTCTCCTTAGCCTTCACCTCGTCATTGATTGCACCCTTGTTTATGAACATGAATAACTGGATGTAGGGGCTTGCTCCTTGGCCAACTCTACTACTCGGAGGTTGAAGAAGGCTCAGGCACATATGCTCAGGGACTATCAACCCAAACCGCACGGCAAACGATCGAGTGCATCGGTTGTACTCATCGGAGTTATTTTACATTATTGTAAAAATATCCAGACCTGTCTGGCAAAGAATTTTCTTTTTATTTTATTTTTTGCTTAAATCGTACATTTGTTATAACGAGTTGTCCATTTTCTTGAGAATGTGGGAGAGATGGTTAGTTACTTAAGAAATCACCCTAAACATGAGTAAAACATAGAGAAAGTATTAAAATAAGAGTTCTATGTTTTTATTTCCTAAATATGAGTTCGCACTATGGTAATGTAGCACTGTACACGTGCATTTTACTATAACTTTTGGTAATATACATGATTGGTAATGTAAATGTATTTTAACTCCTATTTCGAGAATAAAAATATGAAACTCTTATTTTTGTGCATACTTTCAATGTGTTACTCTTACAACCTTTTTTCCTAGTTAGTTCACTTTAGCTTTTCTCACCACAGCACTTTAGTACTCCATCCTTCGTATAACTCTTTTGGTCTAGAAAAACACAGAACAAAGATTTTTCTAGAGAACATTATCTGATATAATCTCACCTATAACTTGATTGGTGTTCCAAAAATATTCATACTTTTTATTTTGATGTGTAATTAGCCTAAAAATCATCCTAAATACGAGTAAAACATAGAAAAAGTACCAAAATAATAGTTTTATGTTTTTATTCCATATATAGAAGTTCGCATTGTGGTAATGTGGCACTGACTTATACATTTTACTATACTTTTTGGTGATGTATATGGTCATGATTGACACTCTAAATGTATTTTAATTCTTATTTAAGAAATAAAAATATAGATCTTTTATTTTGATATATTTTCAATGTTTTACTCCTACTTTAATTAAGGACTTAACGATCAGTTTAACAATTTTGAAAGAAATGACTTATTTCGCGCAACAAAATGAAAGGTGAGATTATTTGAGGTATTTTTTTAAAGTTATTTTATACATTCTAAAATTTTAATAAAATTTTTGAAATCTCTTTCTACCTCCATTATTCTTTTCCATTTTTTTAGATTAGCCTTGCTTTAAAAAATATTAAAATAAGAAATGAAAAATAAGAAATTAAAACATTCTAAGAAAAAACAAAAAACACAGCCAAAACCCTAAAAAAATAACTAACAAATAAGATAATCAATAAAAACTAACCTAAACCAAATATAAAATTTAAAAATGTCATATACAAAAAAACTTGTACTATCAAATTACATATTATACAATCGTGTCACTCGTAAATATACATTTTTTTATAAATGTAATGAGTATTATGTGATTGAATTTTAATTTTAAAATTTTATATTAATATTTAAATAAATTAAATTAAAATTAATTTCAAATAAGTTTTTTTTATTAAAAATCAACTATGTTTCAAGAGTAACAATGTGACTAACTAGCAATAGGAGGGAGTAATATGCATTAGTGTAAATTTCATAATTGGTCTTTTATAATAAATGTTTCTCTGTGTTTATAAGTTGGCGAAAATTGCTTATAAGCAGTTTTTCACTTATAAGTCAGTTGATGATATGTTTCAATGTGCTTATAATTAAGCTGACATATAAGTCAGAAAAAATAAGTAGGTCTTAGCTATTTATTTTTAAGCCAGTTTTATCGTTTTTCCATTTTGACTAGATTATTTTTAAAACGGTTCTCACAACTTTTTAATATTTACAAATGATTTAGCTATCATTTAAGTCATTTTACTTTCACGAAAGAATATATAAGTTATAAGCGGTTTATACGTTAAAAACTGCTTATCAGCAATAAACCAATAAGCACCAGCACAGAGAAACATCACCATAATATGAGGTTTTTCATACTCCCTCCGTTTGGGAAACCCTTCTTATTTTGAACAAAGGCTATGTTAAGGAAGTGTTAAATTGTAGTTGACTTCCAGTTTTGCCTTTGATGTGACAGATAAAAGTAATATGTGATGAATAAATTATTAGAGGAAAAGTATGATGTGATAGGTATGGTAAGAAAAAATAAGGGTAAAAGTAATTTTTTAATAGAAAGTAGAAGTGTTTTGGTGGAAGAGAAAAAAATAAAAAGGGAAGTGTTTTGGTAAACGCGTGAAGTATTATTTAGCCCTCTATTACCAAATATTACTCACGTGGTCCTTATAATTTTATAGGTACCTTTTCATAATTAGTTCTTTTTGACCTTCTGTCTATTTGCTTGTGTTAATTTAAAGGCTAGAAGTATAATTTGACATCAATCTTATATATGTTCAGTGACGTATTCTGATGTCGGTTAGAAGGACAACACAATAATAATGACAATGACTGTGGACTAAGATTCCGACGAAAGACTACATCTGTAGACTGTGATTGTAGTAAAAAACTACTGCAATTCACAAACGAAACACTAAGAGCGACCTCTGGAACTGTGTATGACAAGAAAGATACTCCATAAAAGGAATCTTTGTGAAAAAAGGAATCTTTGTGAAAAAATTACACTTTTAGCTCTCAAATTAACAGCAAAATAACAGAAGATCAAAAAAGGAATCTTTGTGAAAAAATATCTATAAAAAATGACTACAAAGATAATACTCCATTTGATAATAAAAGACTAGATAGAAAAAATATCTTATAAAGGACTAATTATAATATTTACTCATACTAATAATATGTTCTATGTTGTCTAAAACGTTAGAACTCACAAGTCACAACAAGAAAATCAAATAACGTTAATTATTTTTTGTTTTTGTTTTTTTGTCCCCTTATACTTTAAGGCCCTATACCGTTTCCCCGTCAAATAGATATTTTTTCCGTTCCTTTACAGCCTTTATATGTAATGCTTTACTGTTACACCTTCTATGTCTTTGGTACCGTCGGATATTTAAAAGAAATTAAATGAATATATGCTTTTACTCTTATTAATTGAAAGGATAAAGCTATTTGTACCCCCAACCTTTTGTATCCCATTTGTATAACACAGGTTTGCATTAAGATTTTGTGTTGCTGTAAAATTATTTTTTGTTAACGCACAAACACTTTGTGTCCGTGTAAATTTTTATTAACGCACCAACACTTGTGTCGGTGTAAACTATCAAAATATTCGTGTATAACTGCAGTGTACAAATGGAGTAAAATTTTTGATGTAAGTGTGGCATGTTCCTAATTGAAAACATGCTGGGCAAACACACACGTAGTTGTCTCCTGCTAGTTACTTTATATACGGTGCTTTATTAATTTAAGTTCCAAACTCATCACCAAAGAGGTAGGTGAAGTCTTCCTAAATGAGAATTTGTCCATCAACCACTGCAAAATCTCTCTCCCACCGCTACCACACAAGAAGTTCCTCTAACTCTGTTGCTTTAATGCTTTATCTCTCTCTCTAAACCACACAAAAAGTTACACTTTTGGAGAGAAAAAAAGGATGTGTTCCATTCCAAGAAATTAAGACTCAACGGGGCTGTCATTGAGAGAAATAAATTAGACTTTAATTATAAATTGGTGGCAAGGAGTATAGCCTGCACTTGATACTTACAGAAACTTTATGCTTAGCATAGTTGTCACTCAGCACAGTTGCCAGAAATAGAACTCGAATCTACCTCCTTTGCATTCACTGTCATTGTCAACGGCTGTGAACGCCCACCCGCTAAAGTTACACTTTTGGACAAACGCGTGTTGCTTGCCTCTATACGTATAGGACTATAGTCCCTTTGGAATTAAACCATTGAGATCTAAGAGCATCACCCATTGTGCTCTATACCCCGTATTTAATTTTGGAATTGTATATCCTCTAATAGATTAAAAGTACTCTATTTCTAACTATTTGCAATAAAGAAATCAATCTAAATAGGAATAAAATATTAAGAAAATAAGAAAATGAGACTTTCATGTTTTTATCTCAAAAATAAGAATTTGTAATATGATAGCGTGACACCGTATGTATACATTTCATAATCTTTTTTGATTTTATAAATTGGCATCATTGGCATTGTATATACATTTTAACTCTTATTTTGGGAATAAAAATATAAAACTCTTATTTTAATATGTTTTTTAGTGAAAAAGACTAAAGTAGGAGTAAATCATTAAAAATATACAAAATAAGAGTTTCATGTTTTATTCTCAAAATAGGATTTAAAATGCACATATAGTATTAATCATGACCATATACATAACTCAAAAGTTTTGAAGAAATCTACCTGGATACGAGTAAAAAAGTATGAAAATATCAAAATAGGAGTCATAAGTCTTTTAATACCTAAATAAAAGTATAAGGCAGTCTAGTGTACAGTGTAATACTCCCTCCGTCCACCTAAGATCTTCCTATTGCGCGTTACGAGGCTTGACCGACTTTATTTTCAATTCGATTTATTTGAATATAGGGGTAAAATTTTAATGTAAAATTTATATAGTAATAAACTACATGAAAAGTTCTACAAAACTAAAGGTGATAAGATTATACAGAGTATTATTTTGTAAAATGAGTAGTAAAAATAAGCAAACAAAGTGAATTAAGTTTGACCCTGTGAATAGTGTCTGGGAAAATCTATGGTGGACAGAGGGAGTATGTGAGTATAATCAGTCAATCGTCGGTGATCTATCGCGGCACTCGAGTGGCCGCCGGTAACGGATGACAGTGTGGCGGTAGTAGTGTGGGGAAGATATTTTAGTCTTAAAATACTTATGACTGTTTTTTTGGTATTTTCAAATTTTTTACTCCTATCTAGAAAATTCTCCCAAAGTATTGTGAAATGTTCATATACAATGTCACATTACTACAATGTAAACTCTTATTTTGGGGATAAAAATATAGAGTTCATATTTTGGTACTTTCTCTATGTTTTACTCTTATTTAGAGTAACTTTTTTATTTTCTACACCCTCCGTCCAAAATTTATCTTTCCATTCACTATTCATAGGGTCAAACCTTATTCACTTTGTTGGTCTATTTTCATTGTCCATTTGATAAAATAATACAGTCATGTCACCTCTAGTTTTATGGGAGAAATATCAATGTAGGACTAAAACATTGAAAATATACCAAAATAGCACTTCCATGTTTTTATTCCCGAAATAGAACTTAAAATTCATTTACATTACCAAACATGGTCCTGTACATTACCAAAAAGTATAATAATGTGCACATGTACAGTGCCACATTACAACCACAGTGTGAAGTCCTATTTTGGGGAGAAAAACATGAAAGTCCTATTTTGATACTTTTCTCCATGTTTTAGTCCTATTTAGGGTGATTTCTATAGTTTTATAGATCTTTTGATGTATTTTTCAAAATGTAATTTTTATTTTTTAATTCCACACCATTTTTCATATAAAATGATTTTAAAATAATTTTAGTCAAATATCGTAACACGCAACGAGAAGATAATTTTTAGACAAATGAAGTATATTTTACTCCCACTTCAGTCTTTTCCTTTTACAATATTTCATACCCAAATATGGGTTGTATTTTGGGGTATGTAGAATTGTGTAAAACTTGCTTGCCTGTTTCAATAATCACAACGAACATATATACAAGATACGTGGGCTATATCTAAAGCTAGTGGGCTTGCCCGTTACAATACACGTTACAAAATATACATACGCTAATACTCCCCCTCAAGTTGGCGCATGAAGATCTCGAATGCCCAACTTAGAGAGTAAGAAAGAAAATAAAGGGCGATTTAATGCTTTTGTAAATAAATCGGCCAGCTGCAATCGAGTGGGTACGTAAGCTGTGGTAATCTCACGATGTTGAACACATTCATGGACAATATGACAATCAATATCAATGTGCTTCATACGTTCATGAAACACCGGATTGGCAGCAATGAATAAAGCAGACTTGTTATCACAGAACATGCGCAGTGTAGTTGGTGGAGTCACGCCGAGGGCCCCAAGAAGTCCCCTAATCCAGCGCACTTCTGCACAAGCGTTGGCCATCGAGCGATATTCAGTTTCAGCAGAAGAACGAGACACTGTGGTCTGTTTCTTTGTCTTCCATGAAACAGGAGATCCACCTAAGAGAATAAAATAACCACTGACAGACCTTCGAGTAAGAGGACAAGAGGCCAAATCCGAATCACAATAAGCAGATAGTTGTAAGGAACTGTCACTACGAAGTAGTATGCCCTGTCCCGGATGTCCCTTCAAGTAGCGAAGGACTCGACGTGCGGCATCCATATGATCGACCCTGGGAGCATGCATAAACTGGGACAAAACATGGACTGAATAGGAGAGATCTGGTCGAGTAATGGTGAGATAAATCAGCCGGCCAATGAGACACCGATACCGTGCCGGGTCCCGGAGTTCGGCGCTAGTAAATCGGCCCAAGCCGTGATTGGGTACAATGGGGGTGTCGGCTGGCTTACACCCCACCATACCAGCTTTGTGAAGAATGTCCAAGGCATTTTTTGCTAACACAGAAATATCCCCTCCGCAGATCAAGCACACTCAATGTCCAAAAAATAAGACAAGGGTCCCAAATCCTTGAGGTGAAAACACTGATGCAGATAAGCCTTAAAACAAGCACATAAATGAGAGTTATTACATGCAACCAAAATATCGTCAACATAAACCAGCACAGTCAAAATATCAGGGCCACATCGTCGAATAAAAAAGGTATGATCAGCGTGAGCCTGGCGAAAATTATAACGGCGTAAGGCGCATGTCAATTTAGCAAACCAATTGCACGGAGACTGGCGTAGACCATACAAGGACTTACGCAGGCGGCACACTTTGCCCGGGTGGCGTTGTGCATACCCGGATGGCAAACACATGTAAACTTCCTCGACTAAATCACCATGGAGAAATGCCTTGTTGACATCAAGTTGGTGGACTTGCCACCCTTTAGCAGCAGCGACGGCCAAGAGCACACGAACGGACCCCATCTTTGCAACAGGAGCAAAAGTATCTGTATAATCAACCCCCAATGTTTGGTGATTCCCAAGAACAACGAGTCTGGCCTTGTCACGCTCTTTAGTACCATCAGAGTTGAATTTTGTTTTAAAGACCCATTGACACCCCAAAGCTGTCCGGTTGAGAGGTAATTCCGTGAGATCCCAAGTATGATTATTCTCCAGGGCTTGAATTTCCTTGTGCATAGCTTCATGCCAATTAGAATGGGGGACAGCCTCGGCGTAATTCTTAGGAACAAAGTGGGGACAGATGGCTCCAAAAAAACCTCGGTACCTGTCATGAAAGTTATAATAACAAACAAAGTTGGCAATAGGATAGCGTGTACCTGAAGACGAAGAGCGAACAGGGGAAGCACACAACAAAGCATTAGATTGAACAGAATTAACGATGTTGCCGTTGAGGACGAGAATGGGGTACGACAGCTGTATTGGTAGGATTTGTAGTGGTGATGTCGCTGGCGCTGTGGTCCTCGGTCTGGGCGGGCTGAGTGACAGGGACCGCCGGAACAACAGTGTCGACCGGCTGCGTAGGGAGAGCCGACAGGTTGAGCAGCGGGAATTCGGGGAAATCGGCTGGGGCCGGGGGCTGTGGAGTATCGGTGGGTGGGGTGGTTGTGGTGAACGGGAATTGAGATTCGTCAAACGAGATATCCTGGGTGTGAAAAAAACGGTGGGTGTCTAGATTTTAGACGTGCTAGCCTTTAGTACCAGCGGGGTACCCGACAAACATGCATTTGGTGCTACGTGGGAAAAATTTATTTGAAGTGGGGAGACGGACAAAACAGAGACACCCAAAAATGTGCAAGTGACTGAGATCTGGTGCTTTATTATGGAGATTTTTAAACGGGGATTTGCCACCCAGGAGTTTAGTAGGTGTACGGTTAATGACATAAACAGCAGTACGAACGCACTCGCCCCAGAATTCAATAGGTAGGCTAGCCTGAAACATCAAGGAGCGAGCGACATTCAAAATATGGTGATGTTTACGTTCCACTTGACCATTTTGTTAAGGGGTACCGACACAGGAAGTTTGAACAAGAACACCCATGGACAGATAATAAGTAGCGGAGATGACGATTGACAAACTCCGTTCCATTGTCGGAACGAACAACTTTAATGGTTTTATGGAACTGAGTTTGAATCAGGCTAAAAAACTGTTTAAGGCAACTAGTTACTTCAGATTTGTCAATAATCAAATAAGCCCAAACAGCGCGTGAATGATCATCCACAATAGTAAAAAAATAATGTGCACTAGTAGCCAAACACGAGGTATAAGGTCCCCACAAATCACAGTGAATTAAATCAAAAACACTAGTAACTTTATTTGAACTGAGAGGAAAATTACTACGAGTTTATTTAGACTGGAAACAAATTTCACAAGACTGTAATAATTTGAGTTTGGAACTACTGGGAACAGGGATAAAAGACGACAAAACTTGAGGAGAAGGATGGCCCAAACGCTTGTGGAGAAGAATTGGATCCCCTTGGCTAGCAAACGCTGGACTGGACGGACAAAAAAGAAACACTCCGTTGTGTGCGTTACCCCGTCCAATCTCCATCTTCATTGCACAATCCTGTATAACACAACAATGTTTATTAAAAATAACTAAACAGGAATTGTCTCGAATAAGGCAGCCAACTGAAATAAGATTGCACTGAAGTTGCGGCACAAGTAACACATCCCGGAGAGTAACTTTCGGGGAAAGGCGAACACTCCCACAGTGGGTTGCCGTAGTATGCATACCATTAGGCAAAGTGATAACACAGGGCGTGATGGGAACAATATGAGACAAATATAAGATATTACCAATCATGTGATGGGAAGCACCGCTATCAATGAGCCACTCACGAGAAGAAGACTCACCACTAGGACCGGTACCCTTATCGGTAGAAGACGTGTCAAGCATGGATAACAGGCGAGAAACTTGATTAGACGTAAGGCCCAAAGGGTTGGTGTTTGGGGCCGACCCACCCCCTGCGGCGTGTGCTCCCCTTGTCGGTGTGCCTGCCCCTCTGCCAGCGGGTGTATTACCGTTGGATGACCCACGGCCGAACCCTTGGCCGGAACCTCCTCTGCGGCCAGAGGCTCCCCCTCGGCCACTACCTTTTCCCGGTGGGTAGCCGTGCAGCTGATCACAACGGTCCTTCGAGTGACCATCTTTGCCGCAATGAGTGCAAGAGTAAAGGGGAGGGTCTCCACGAACAATTGGGAAATTAGGTCGTTAGATGGCAAAGGCGACTGCATCGGTTCGATCATCCCTCCCGCGAACAATATTCTTGTGACGTTCTTCTTGGACAATCAAAGCATAAGCCCGGTGAATGTCAGAGACGGGTTCGGTAGCGATGAGTTGGGAACGAATATGGCCAAATTGTTCGTCGTCGAGGCCAAGTAAAAAATGATGAGTTTTCTCTTGTTCTTATCGAGCTCGGATGAGTACGGCAGCCTCACAGTGGCAGCTGCACATAGGGTCGACGGATCCATAAAGCTTGTTCCAAAGTGTCACAAATTGGTTGTAGTACACACCACAATTTGGTCCTTTTGCCGGAGAGGTTGAAGTTTGGATTTTAATTGATGAACACGAGGGCCGTTACACCCCCCATAACGGGTTTTCAGATCTAACCACAATTCATGAGCCACTTTGTGAGAAATAATGGACGGTTGTATATGTTCATCAACACTATTGCATATCTAGGAGAAAATAATAGAGTTATTAGCCTTCCATGCCGCAAGCTCCTGTTCGTCAGTTGGCTTGGGAAAACCCGTGGGGGTTAAGAATCCGATGTGGGATCGTGGATCAACCTGACCTTCTTGGTGGCTTCGGTTCACATGGTGTGCAGAGAGAAAGGGATCGGCTGTTCTGGAGAGAAGGAAACGGCAAGATTGCCTGGCCAAGAAAAACTCCGACGTGAGCCGAAGTGAACACCGGCGTGAGACGGTGTGTGAAGGCCGACGTGAGGCGGCGATGCGAGACAGCCGACGTGAGGCCGAACATATATACAAGATACACGGGCTACATCTAAAGCTAGTGGGCTTGGGCCCGTTACAATACACGTTACAAAATATACATACGCTAATAGGGTACTCCATTTTTCTTTTCTTCCATATGTTTATTACTCCGTAATATTGTTTTTAATTTTTTTAACTTACATTATTTGTCTTTTTAGCAAACTTTTTTTATAACTTACAACTCCATCCGTCCTAAAACGTTCTTTCTGTTTCTATTTACGAGATTTGACCGATTTTATTTTCAATCCAATTTATTTGATTGTAGGTGTAAAATTAAAAAATAAAATTTATATATTTAAAAACTACATCAAATGTTCTTAAAAAAGAGGTGAGAGGAATATATTTTTTTATCTAATAACTAATAGAAATAGGTAAAGGAAGTAATTAAAGTTTGATCATATAAATAATAAATGAAAAGAACGTTTTATGACGAATGAAGTATAATTTTAATTTTCAAAGAAAGAGAAGATGAATACATATTTCCAAAAAAACTCATGAAGATCGACATGGGTAACTATTCGACTCGTGATCGGGGCGGTCATGTCGATTGGCATTGTAGCTACATGGGTTGAAATCAAATCATATTAAATGAGAAATAACTTCAAATACAACTACAATCATATCAGACCAGATCATACTACGTCAAATCAAACCAAAATTTTTATCAAATCAGAACTAATCAGATCAGGTGAATAGAACAAGCCCTTAGTCTAATCGAAGGATCCGACTATTCTTCAAGTGGGGTCACTTGACCCAACTAAATTTTTTTACTACATCTCTATCTAAGTATTTGTCTATTTTTTACTTTTTTATTAAAATGAGCAAACTTTGACCATAAGTTAAATAAAAAATAATATTAGATATTGACAAAAAAAGATTTTATTTAATTTATATTATAAAGTGTTTTCAAAATATTATTTAACAAATTAATATATTATATGTATTTTATTTAGTTATAGGTCAACTATTAAAAATGACTAGCTGCAAAAAGTCAAAATTAGACAAATACTCACTGACCAAGATGGAAGTAAGTATTTAGGGCGCATCTGTTCGTCGGTCTTATTGTTGTATTTTTCAAAATATGTGATCCGATTAGGTCTCATATGAGCTGATTGAACTTGATCTCGTCTGATCTAATTTGATTGAGTCTTATCTGACTGGGCTTGATTCAGGAGATATGATTAGTTCTGATCTGAATAGATTCAATGTGATCTGAACTAATCTAATCAGGTCTGATTTAAAGTTAAAATTATTATATAAATTTATTATTTTTATCAGAGAAATTGTTATTAGCAATTTTTTATGTATGTATTATTATAATAGAAATTATTATCTAATTATATTGAATATTTAGTAATGTAACATGATTTAATTATATAGTAATTATTATTCAATTATAGATAAAATACTAACATTATTTTCAATATTATTCTAAATTGATTTGATCGAATGAAGTCTGATTTGATTTGATTGGATCTAATCTTATCAAATCTAAATAGATATGATCTGATTAAATATGATTTAATGTGATAAAATCTAATTTTCAACGAAACAACATTGCATATTTGCATTACTAATCCGTATTTTGTGTGCATCTTTACAAGGAGTTTTTTTAAAGCAAAATTTGCTCAATTTGATGTTTTCATGCTAACGGGTTTTATAATGATACTCCGTATGTGCTAATTAGACATTGTTTTAACTACTCTGTTATAGAGTGCTGATTAATGGCATTCTCACAGATCCTATTGTGCCTTCTCGTGGTCTCCGACAAGGTGATCCTATTAGCCCGTTATTGTTTATTATTTGTGCAGAGGGGTTGTCTTTCCTATTACAGAATGCAGAAAGCAGAGGGTTGTTGCATGGTATCTGGGTGGCTCGTGGTGCGCCATCGATTTCACATCTTTTGTTTGCGGATGATAGCCTCCTTTTTTCAGAGCTAACCAAGTGGAGGCTAGTGAGGTGCTCTGGTGTTTGTCAGAATATGAAAGAATGTCGGGCCAGGTTGTTAATTTTCATAAATCTAGCATTTGTTTCAGTGCCAATACCATGTGGAATCATAAGGTTTGGCTAACTCGGTTCTTTGGTGTTGTGCAAGCAAATGACTTTGGCAAGCATCTGGGACTGCCCTCATTTTTTGGAAGGAACAGAATGGCAGCTTTTTCGTATCTCTCAGATAAGATTAAGCAACGTTTCACCTCTTGGAATAAGAAGCTTTTGTCCAGAGCAGGGAAAGAGATTTTGTTGAAGACGGTTGCACAGGCCATGCCTCAATATGCAATGAGTACTTTCTTACTTCCTCGTTCGTTTTGTTTATCTATTGAACGTGCAATGAACTCTTTTTGGTGGTCTAACAAAGGCAAAAATAGTAGAGGTATCCATTGGATGGCCTGGGGTCGTATGACTTACCCTAAGAAATTCGGAGGTATGGGGTTCCGTGACATCTCAGCTTTTAATGTGGCGCTTTTGGGTAAGCAAGGTTGGCGGTTTCTTACAAACCCAGCGGCATTGGTTTCTCAGGTATTTAAGGCAAGGTACTTCCCGAAGACATCTTTCTTGGATGCAAAGCTGGGTCATAATCCTAGCTATTGTTGGAGGAGCATATTAGCAGCACAAAATTTGTTGTCCTCGGGCGTTAGAAGGCGAGTGGGCAGTGGTTTGAATACTACTGCATGGGGTTCACCATGGCTCTTAGACGACACAAATCCTTGTCTTGAGACTCCGATTACGGAAGCCACAGAAAACATGGTGGTGGCCTCTTTTATTGATTCAAATCTGGGAGGATGGAATATATCGATGCTCGAAATGACCTTGATTCCAAGAGATGTGCATGAGGTATTAAAAATCCCAATTAGTCAGTTTCGTTAGGATTGTTGGTATTGGAGAGGTGATCTAAGAGGAAACTACACAGTTAAGGATGGTTATCGGAGACTTATGGGGGAAGTGACTAATGTTACGGGTTTTTCAAACTGGGGGCGTTTATGGAATATTCATGTTGCCCCAAAAGTCAAAGTTTGTATTTGGAGAGCTTTGAGGGGCATTCTTCCAACGGTTGAAGCTTTAAATACCAAGGGTATGGCGTTAGAGAATTTATGCCCTCTTTGCGGACATCCAGCTTGGTTCCAAGGGGTTACTTCCTCTACCTCAAGTTAAGAACTTCAGAAGATATCTTGGACTATCTGGTCAATTTGGAAAGCCCGTAATAGAGCTGTGTGGGAACATATGGTACAACATCCAAGGTCTACGGCTGTGCAGGTGGAGGCTTTTCAACGGGGGTGGACTGATGCGGCTACCTCTTTGAAGAGTGGAAGTTCTGTTGTTGCAGTTCCAGGTGCTGTTTTCCAACCCAACACTGCCAATGCTACGACAGGGGGTGAGTTGTGCTTTGTGGATGCAGCTGTTTTCCCATAGTCTGGTTTGGTTTGTTTTGGTTGTGTGCTATTAGGTGAAGACCGATCATTTCGAGCAGCAGTCAATGGTCGCTTGATTTGTGTGCAAGAACCTTTGATGGCAGAAGCCATGGCATGTCGTGAGGCATTACTCTGGTTGAAAGGTAAGAGGATTCGTGCATTCAAGCTTTTCACCGATTGTCTACAGTTGGTCACAGCTATTGAGCAACGGGATCGTGGCCCCTTTTCTTCATATCTTGGCTCGTTGATTGAAGACTGTTATGTTTTACTTTCTTCTTTTGAGTCTGCATCTATTTGTTTTATTCGTAGATCTTTTAATTCTGTTGCTCATACTTTAGCGAGAAGTGCTTCTACACATCGTTCCATGTGGGATGACACTCCTCCAGAACTTACTATGGACCTTTTAGTTAATTAATGAATTAATATTTCCTTTCAAAAAAAAACTACTCCATCTGATCCAAAAAAAATTCCGTTTTGATTTTTTTAGTTAAACATTAACTTTCTTTGGTCACAAATTAAACATCTTTATATTTTTCTATATTATATAAATGTGAAAGAGGGTTAGGTACCCCTTAATATTATGCACCTTTTCGATCCAAAAAACATGTACAATTAACTTTAAAACTCGTTCCATACAATTTGTACTCCAAAAAGCCCCTAACACCGTTAGTTATATTTAGAGAGTGAATTCTCAAAATGGTCTTTTCTAATAAGGTTTTTTCCCAAAGTAATACTCAATAAACAAAATTACTAACGTGGTCCTTTATAATTGATATGTGTTTCCTAAGTAGTCTTTTATCAAAAATTTCTATTAAATGATAGTTAAGTAGAGGATATTTTGATGTTATTCATATCTAAACTATGAATAAGTCCTCAAATTGTTTTTTTTAAAAATTAAGGCCCCGTTCCGTTCAACTTATTTTTTCTTATTGTTTCTTATTCTTATTAAAATCAGATCAGATCAGCCCAGATCAGATCAGATCAAATCAGATCAGAACAGATCAGATCCAATCTGATCTGATCTGATCTGATCAAAACTTATTAAAATTAGATCCCATCAAGAATTATTATTATTATTATTATTATTATTATTATTATTATTATTATCATTGTTGTTGTTGTTCTTAAAAATGAAAAAGAATAAACTTCAGAAACAGGTTAAAGAGAAAACAGAGAAAGTAATCCTTAATTATTAGACGTCGGAAAAATTAGTTTGAAAATACATTGACAATGTCAATCTAATTCTACTTTTAAAATATATTTTTATTACTACTTGTAATTTGAGTTTCTAAAGTTTTGATCTTTTATAAGGATGAGATATTTTAATAAAGATACTATCTCTTCTATATATTGATTCTCTAAATTTAATTACTTTTTAATGTATATATAAATTAATTATTTATTCTAATGTATATACGAAGTAATTATTAAAATATTAAATTAATATTCTAATTTCACAAAAAAATAATCATAAAATAAAAAATATTATTAGATTATAATATGAATGATTATTCTAATATATGAGTTAACTAATTTTATTTTATTAAAAAATAATCATTAAATAAAAAATATTGATTATATTATAATATGAATTATCATTACAATTTTCAAACGTTATTATAAAGTCAAATCAAATTATTGATTTGATTTTTAAATCAAACCATAATTAATCAGATCAGATTAGATCAGATCCAATCAGATCAGATCAGACTAGATCCAATCAGATCAGATCAGATCACATCAGAACTTATTAAAATCAGATCAGATCAGAAAAAAATAAGTTGAACGGAACGGAGCCTAAGTCATTAAGTGGGAGGCTTCTAATAAACAACAATTACCAACTTGGTCCTTTATAATTTAGATTTATTTTCTAAATGGTCATTTACCTAAAATTTTTATTAAATGTCAGTCAATTAGAAGGTATTTTGATATTTTCTGTCATCTAGGCTTATAGTTTGTTCTTGAATGCTCCTTTATAATTAAGTATTTTTCTAAACTGATAATTTTTAAGTAAATATTTTTTCGAAATGGAGTCCATGAGCTAACCCAGGGTGGGTCCCTTCATCTAGTAGCCTCCCACTTAATTTAAATAAAAATCATTTTGAGAACTTATTCATAATTTAGATAATAAAGAGCATCAAAATACCATCTATTTAACTGTCATTTAATAGATATTTTTATAAAAAACTATTTAGGAAACACATTTCAATTATAAAGGATCATGTTAGAAATTTTTCTTATTGAGGATTACATTGGTAAGAAACCTTCTTCAAAAGGATCATTTTGAGAATTTACTCAAATTATTTGGTCATATTTTGTGAAAAGGACTATTTGTCGAATATTTTTTAAAAATTGAGGACTGTTTATAGAATATCTTATAATTGGGGACTAAATATGAAAAAGTACATATAATTGGGGACCATTTATAAAATTTACTCTTATATTTAATCACTTCATTCTCTAATTGACAAATATGGAGATGCTTGCTAGCCTATATGCCACAATTACATAGTGTTATTATTATTATTATTATTATTATTATTATTATTATTATTATTATTAGGAAAAATTATTCAGAATAATCCCAACTTTACCTGGTCTTTCAAAAAATTCCATATTTTACTGTGATGCATAATAATCACAACTCTACTAAAATTTGCGAGTTTTGGGTCGACGTTAAGTTGCTAACAGCGGGTTAACGGAAAAGGCACCTTTCTGCAACAAAATGAAGCTGAGATTAGTCTTGATGAATTTTCATTTTTTAATTTTTCATTTTGAAATTTTCATTTGAATTTTAAAAATGACTTTCTACATCCATTTCTCTTTCTTTTTAAAAAAATTAGTCTTACCTTAGAAAAAGAAAAAAAAATAGATATACATAACGAAAAATGAGAAAATAACTAAGACCATACAAAATTAATGAAATAAATAAAGTAATCAATAAAATATAAGGTACTCAATAGAATTAAATCGAAACTGGTAAAAATAAAATAAAAATAGACGGTGTGAAGAGTTCTAACATTTTACACACTATACATAATATTAATGTACTACTACTTATTTTTTTGGGAGAACGAGTAAAGTTGAAATTATTCTATATAATTTTTCCTAAAAATAAGAAGAAGTTATACTTTAATACCATGTATAGTACATAAAATGTTAAAACTCATAACTCCATATATTTTTTATTTTATTTTTTACTAGTTTCAGGTTAATTTCTATTGATTATCTTATTTATTTTATTAATTTGTATACTTTTAGCTACTTTTATCATTTTCTCATTTAGTAAGACACGTAAGACAAATACATGCGACAAGTTCATTATAGTATATAACACTAAATTTTAATTGGGCATTTGAATCCGTGCATCGCACGAAGCAATGCTAGTAATCTAATAAATAAATGTTTAAAAAAATTTGATATATTAAAACTCTATCCTAAAATGAACCCAAATATGTGTAGTTTACATTTTTGAGGTAAAAATAACTTTATTCCCCAAATCCCTTAATTATTCCTTCTTGCTGGGAATTGATTCTGTTCCCAGTAGACATGTTTTTGACGAATATGATTACCGACGACATAGAACTCGAGAAAGTTGTTGAAGGGCCCGGAGATGGGAAATTGGGAATATACTCCCTCCTCCTAAAATGGTTTATACTTTAAGCTAAGTAAAATGAATGAAATTCTTATTTTAATTAAAGATTGATATGTTAATAAAATATACCCCGAGTAAAATTTACATATTTAACAATGACATCAACAATTCTACTCGAGTACAAAACAAGAGGTAACTAGAATATTTTATGTTATAAAATAATCAATAAAAATGTATAATTAAATTAAAGTTTTTGTAATTTTTAAATAGTAAAAAGTGTAATTTTTTTTGGAAAGGATGAAGTAATAGGGAGTATTGGATTGACGCCGATTTCTTTATTTAAACCTAATATACTCTGTAGTTTTTATTTTGGTATAAAATCATGTCACTTCTATTTTAGGAAGAAAATATATTTTGATCATAGTAAAACAGATTTCTTGATTGAAAAAATGCTAAAAAGACGTTAAACTAATGCCTTGAACGCTTGAGGTCAAAATATGCCGTGTGGAGTTGTAGACAAATATTTGTAGAAGGCATTAAAAGCTTGAGGTTACCCTAACATCACCCATTCACCCATAACTTTAGATACAATAATTTTTGCTCCGTACTATTGTAAATTACGAGTAATTTCTTTTTTGCCAAACTAAAAAGAACAATAAAATTTGATGAACAAAAAAGAAGAAGGAAAGAAAAAATAAAAAATGAAGAAGCAAAGCAGCCAGGAACGGAAAAGGAGAAGCAAAAAAAAAAAAAAGTAGCAACGGGAGGAACGGCGTGGCCGTCCTTAAAGTCTCGCGTCGGGCAGTGTTCTCGCCTTTCCACCATCCCATTGGCACCAATACCATCTGCTTCAAAACTAATTTTTAAATTCCGTTATTTCAAAATGTTGCATCCACACCTCTCTCATCAAAGAGAAAGTATTATTGCATATTTTCTAAATCATAGGGGCACTTATGCATGTTTCGTTTATTATTTGTTTTTTCCCTTTTTATCTCTTTTTTATCTATTTATTTCTTTTTTAGAAAAGTTTTTAAAATTTATTTTAATATTTTTATAATATTTAAAAAAATTCAAAATTCTTTGTGTTTGAAATAAAAATAAAAATAAAAAATTAACATATCTCAAATTAGACAGTTTCACTTTTTATTTTTAAGGATAATTTTTTTGCTAAGTTAAAAAAGAAAATCTAAAATAAAAATTAAAAATAAAAATAAAAAAACAAATTGAAAAAATTGAAAACACGCAAAAAAGAATCTTAAACAAAAAGAAATTTTTTGAACGTTAAAAAAGTCCATAGAATTGGGATGTCTAAAAACGATATTCATTTTTATTTTTTGTTTTGTTTTATTTCTTATTTTATTCCTTATTTTTTGAAGTTCTCAAAAAAAGTTTTTACTTTTTTTATTTGAGAAAATAAATAACAAAAAATTTTAAATTTCAGGCGTACTTTTTTATTTTAAAAAGAAATTTAAAAAACATTGACTAAAAAATAATAAAGGAAAAATTGAGAAAAAAAACAAAAAAAAGCACCGGTACCCCCTATGATTTGAAAAATAGGCACCAATACCCCCCTCTTCGCCAGCAAAATGACAGAAAATGAATAAAGAGAGTACGGATGCAACGTTTTGAAATCACAGGATTTTAAGAATAAGTTTTAAAAACATAGGGCGTATTGGTTCCTATTTTTCCAACCATGGGGGTATTAGTGCTATTTGGCCTAAATTTTATTTAGCGAGTAGTTATTTGTCTAACTCTTTCCCCAATTTAAAAATATTCAAATAAATTAGGGCACGATTCCGTTAACATTGTCCAACGATGTCATTAGCGGTGCCACTGGGTTTTAGAGCACCTCCGATGCTCCGTTCGAAAAATTGATGGTTCCTACCCCCTAACCCACCCCTGAACTCTCACCCTAGCCCCAACCCTACCCCACCCCAACTCCACTCCACCTTAAGCCCACTCCAAGTCTGTGGCTATTATGCATTAACATATTTGGAGGGGGCTTAGGGCTGGGGCAGAGGGTAGGGGTGGGGCTAAAGTGTGGGGTTCAGGGGTGGGTTAGGAGGTATGAACCATCAATGTAGTGACACCGCTAGTGGCATCGTTGGTCAGTGTCAATGGAACCTCACTCAA